AGGATGTTGGTTTCTTGAAGTGCAACTACATCTATGGTTCTCTGCTGTAGGATTTGCCGAAGTTCAGGAATGCGTGTACGAAGGCCGTTCACGTTCCATTGGAGAATCGATGGGAATTTGGGGTTCCGGTTTCGTTGACACGGCCTGTTGGCTTTCCCTCCCTTTACTATGACTCCATAAGAGGAAGAATCATGTTAAGGAATGAGAGGAGAAGTCGTGCCCACTGCGCATCCACAGTCGATAGAAAAGCGTGGGCCATGCGGGTTGCCTTCTGAAAAAGTGGAATCCAGCTTTCCCATGCAGATTTAGCTGTAGGTTCAGCATTCGGGCTGGGCGGAGGCTGCGGCTTCAGTGCAGGCGTCACATTCAATGCTGGTCTGACAGTGTCGGCTTTCGATTCCACAGTGCAGGTGTGGTGGTTGTTCAATTCAGAAGCTCCCTGCGTCGTTTTGCCTTTTCGCTGAAGTGCTGCAGCGTAATTCACAGCACTGACATTAGGCTCCTTGATGGGATCATTCCCTTTTTTCTGTGGGCTTGGAGGGGGCTGCCCACTTTGGTTTGCGTTGGCTGTCTTATACTGCTGGACAGCTGTCCTTGCAGCACGAAAATCAACGGCATGTTGACGTGCGTAGTTGCGAGTCTCGCTTTCTTTCTTCCATTTGGGGCAGGATGAAGAAGTGGCAGCGTGAGGTTGTCCACAGTTGACACACTTTTCTTGCGCCGAACACTCGGTGTGGCTCTCATGTAAATCTCCGCAGCGGCTACAAATAGGAGGTCGCTTGCAAGTCGCTTCTCGGTGTCCATACGCACAACACTTACGGCACTGTATGGGGCGTTCCTTGAATAGAGAGACTGGGTGACGGACATGGCCGAGGTAAACATAGCTTGGCAGTGTCGTTGTAGAGAAGGACAGCTTCACTGCTGTGCTCTTGCCAAGTCGTCGCAATCTTGCCACTCGACCTTCCGGAGATCTTACGTTCTGTTCGATCTCTACTTCAGAAAGCGCAGGATCAACATCTGTGATGACTCCGACGGCGTAGTGTCGCGGAACCGGCTCATATGCTCTGACCTTCATTCCACAAAGCTCGGAGCAGGCAAGGAGCGTTCGAGTCGTCTGGCCATTGCGCGTGTCTACTGCAATTAGGTTGAGTCTTTTGTTGGGACGGACCTCAAGAATGCACTCCGGGCACATTTGTTCCAAAGCAATTGACAGTTTAAGGCTGCTGAGTGTTGCGATGAGCTGATTTTCAACCGTTGATACAAAGATGACAGTCAGCCCCTCTGTCACTTTCGGCGAGTGGGTAACTGTATCCGTGCTTTTGCTTGAGTTTGAGTCAGTCTTCTTGCGTTTTTTAGCTCCTTTGGTCTGCCAGCCTTCTTCGTCGTCGTTGAGTTCCATGTCACAGAGTTGTGACTCTTCGGCATTCAATACGTTGATATTTGAATGTTGACCAGCTGCGAGGTCTTCTGCCAAGTCAGCAGCGGAAGCTTCGTACTCCGATTTTGCAAGAGATGTACCGCATATCGAGGAACTCACGCTGTATCGGTCGGTTGCAGCTCTTTGACTTGCCGTTAGTGAGGGAGTTCTGGTGGACATAGCGGAGTCGTTTCAGGAAAGCCGAGGAATAATCCCCAGCCGACCGTCACACCTGCCCGCATGCAGTTGGAGGCAGGCTTCGAACTTGTATGGGCTCAAAGAAAAACGTGTAGAAGGTTGATACTATTAAAATATAGCCAGAAATATGAGAGACGAAAAGAGCACAGACCTATTCGAAGCACGTCTTCTTCTTCCTTCGCAATATATGTCGGTACAGTAAGATGGACATAAATCACTTCTTATTCCAGTTTTGGCTAGATGAATGATGACTTCCACAGGTTCGCGATTTCGACAATGGAGAATTTTAGTAGATCGGTGCGATGACTCCGATAACGATACCCGATACTCCGCAGCCGCCTTTGCGCATGCATCATATCGTTATCGGGGGCATCGGAACGATCTACTAAAACTCTAGAATATCAGACAACGGCTGTAACGACGAAGCTTGCTCTATCTTTGAGGTGAATAGTACTTCCATTGCTTCTCTGAAGAAGCTCAATGCAAAGCATAAAGCATTCGTGAGGAATAATATGGCACTCCCATCTAGTGCCTCAGTTCAGAGGGTGTTCAGCGTAGCAGTCGACATATTGAGTAAGATATAACGCAAAATGTCTGACGAGACTTTCGAGAGCCAGCTGTTGCTCAAAATACTCAAGGTCATTAAATGGAACAGGTGGCAACAATAAGAACTTGAATAACTATCTTCCTTTTGTTTCTTACTTGGGGCAATAATGTTGAAAGTAACGCCACAAAAGTAACGAATTACTTTTTGGGGTAACGGTCAGTTACTTTCATGGGAGGGTAATTGTAACTGTAATAAATTACAATTTAGCCTTGAGTAATTGTTCCTTACTATTTTTCAGTAACGTACACAAGTCTGCTGCTAATAACCTTCCAGTGGAGTCAGAATACACAATATTTCAGACTGAAAGAACACATAATTAAAAAGAGTACATTTAACACTACCGATAGGTTTCTCTTTAAAGGGTTAACATGGTGTGCACCAAAAGAGTATCTACAACTCTGTTTCTGGGAGTTAAAGCACCCTTCCAACAGAAGGGTGCTTTAACTCCCAGAAACACGAGAGTGGAATTAATTACTCTTTATTTGAAAGTGATTTGATCACCACGCAAGGGTTGTCACTTAAGGCCCGTTCACACACTTGCGACCTCTTAAAACAAAGTGCCTTGGAACCTCTTAATATCTTTTACGACAAGAGGACACGCGCCATCTATTGGGTAGCAGTGGAAACTTGGCGGTCCCGCATGTTTTCTTTTTCTCGCGAGCATTATCCTTTCTTTCTTGGCTCGAAAAACTTTTATCGACGTTATAAACGAGCCTTTCTCTTAAGTATTACGCAGATTTGACCTCGGAAATCCCGCAAAACCTTCGTTCTTGTGAAATTTAGTTCCAGCCACCGTATAGATGGCGCTAGCGTGTTCCCTCGTCCTAAGGAATCTTAAGAGGTTTCAGCAGGTCTCGTCTCTCTCGGTCGTACTCAGTTGCAGGTGTGTGAACGGGCCTTTACAGTTCAGCAGAATCGCTACGACGCTCGCTAGATAATGCATATAACCCTTTCTTCAGGAGTTCACGCAAGCCTCATTACGGAGTTGAAAATAACTTTTCTCAAGAGGGGAATTAGCTCTTGATATGCAAGAGTCACTTTAACACTTCGCAAGGGTCTTCCTAGTTACGCAACACTAGTGCTCCCGTGACCCTCACTTGCAGAGTGCATAGAACACCACGTGTAGGGGTTGACGTTGCTCTTCGAAGTGGCGATTGTAGACCTCCTTTCAAAGCCTAACACTTACTCTAGAAAAGAGTAAGAGAGTGACTCTTTCCAGGGTGTTTACATAGCTATGTAAAAGGGGCTTTAATCAATGTCGTTAATAAAGTTGAAGTATCTTTTCCCGAGGGAGTGAAATTAACTCTCGGTATAATTATTATCAACTTTTACCACTCATAAGAGTTGTTCCAGTTAAACCTCAAAGAGCCATTGCAACTCTTAGTTTCAGCATAGATACAACACTACCTGTAGGAGTACACACTATTCTTTTAAATGTGCTAAGGTTACCCTTCCGTTCGAAGAGTAATTCCAAATACAGACAAGTGTAACCCTCACTCCGAACAAGGGTGACTTCCAATTACTCTTTAAAAGTGTACAGTTTTCACTCACTTACCAAGTGTAACGCATCCTATAGAAAAGAAAAAAGGGGGGGGGGGATCCTGGGACATGCCAGTTACACTTCAAAAGGAGCTTGCTGTATTTAAACTTTTCGCAAGTTCTATACACACTATTTAGATGGTGCCACTGTCCACCATTGCGCCCCTGTTGTCAGGGTCGCGTCCCCGTGGCGCTCGACCCCATGTTGTTTACCGCTGAATAAACAGAGTACGCCATCAGCCACCGACCGTATCGGACGTCTCCTTCCTTCCGGGGCTCCCGCGCCCCCGGCCCGCCGGTAACCACTTCGGCATGTAAGAACCTCGTCTGTTTCCGCAGGCCCACGTACACCCTGCGCTCCTTTTATTTTCTCAAGTGACCTCTTTTCTTTTATTCAACATTTTGGCGACGAGATTTACTACAGAGTTAACGGTGACACCTTTTTTTTAGGGTGTTGCGGACAATATTCCGTGGCTATGCAGTCAAAGCATGGGCTATCTGCGCGCGTGCGCTTATGCATCTTGAGCGGCCATCAAAGTTGGGCGCGCGCGTGTTCACTTCACAAATGGCTGTGCGGGAGTATTGTGTGGTAACTGTGGTGGCGTGTACAACAGTTAAGAGTGACAGCTCCGGTGAAGGATACCCGTGTGACATAACGCTTCTCTTTAGTGCAGCGCAGTGCGATAGAAATTGGTACAGAATGCGGCTGTCCGGCCCCCCTAGAAGACAAGATTACGTCATTGTTAGTGGATCGCCGACCGAAGTGGCAAACCCGCTCAAGCTCGACAAGAGTCGCCTGAAAGCGACACACATGTCCCTGTTAAAGCCGCCGTCTGCTAGCGCCGGGATTGTTGTGAGACGCTGCAAGGCGCGTTGGCGATGACGCTGACGACGCCAACACCATCCAGAATAATGAAGTCCTCCGCACGCCCCGCTCTTCCTCCCTGGAACGTCATGACCTTCGGTTGGCGCAAACTCGGCAAGTGGACCCGATGCCAAGCAACCTTCGACGCGTCCATTGGACACCAGGCCCAGCCGAGCTCTGACGCAGCACTCGTACCCAGTCTGTGTCTTTGCTCGATCGCACTCTGATGACGTCAGCATTTTAGTACAGAGGCTTCGATTATTCTGCGTGGTGTTGGCTAGGCAGAGTTGCGTGGATCCAGCTTCAAAGACACCGTCGTATTCAAGTGCGGTTTTTTTCTTATTTTTATTATCACTCGCTTACGTACGCCCACAGAGTGGGTGTTCCGCACTCTCAGTCGGAAGACTCGCAGGCCGCTCGGCAGGCTGCCAAGGTCGCGAACTTGTGACAGAAGTGGGGTCCGGTCACCGGCCGAGTGGTCACGCATCGCCCCGTGCGCCGGTCAAACTGGGCGGTCGCAGTCAGGACGTGGTGCGGGTCGGGCGCGCCAGGTCTGTAACACGCTGAGAGGCAAAGATGAAAAAAAAAAAAAAAAAAACATTGGTCCGCAGCGACTGACCGAACACCCACGACTCGTATTATTAATTTGCCCGATCGCCGAAAAAATAAAAAGAAGGTTGGCGCTAAACAGTCGACCTACAGTGTGTTGTCTTACTTCCAAGTATGGTGTCTGGAACGCGTCTCAGACTGGTGTGTTTGCCTCGTCTAAAAAAGTGGTGCCTCGATTTCCGCCTGGTGACGTCAAACAAGTGTCATGCTGTCCCCAGTCACGATACTGGCGGCGCCCCAACAGCAGTGGTCGGCAGACGCCTGTTCTTCCGCGGGTCGCTCTCCAGTGTGGCAGCCCACGGAAGCTTCGTTAGCCAGTAGGTGAGACGCCTCGACGATAGCGACACTTGCGCTCCCTCGTTCCTTTCGCCAGCATTTCTACGACCAACCACCAGGGTCGCGACAGCCAACAGCATGGCACTACGGTTTTTGTGACGTTACTTGTTGCTATTTCTGGACGACCATCGATGCTTGAGAGGAATAGGACGCTAAACAAACCAGTCGAAGACTCGCTGCAGGCAGAGTACTTGGAAGGTAACGGACCTATCGGGACGAAACCTGCCTTTTTGTAAAGAGTGTGATCAGGACTGGATAGCCAAGGGACAAAAGCGGGAACGCGTCCTTTCGTTTCCAGTCTGCATACTTATTGCGCACGACCGTTTAACATTAGAATCGTGTATGTTGTGCACGCAAAATCACCCTCATTGAGACGGCGTGGTGGGAAGCCACGGGAGTTCGAACTGTAATCAAGAATACGTGCACGAACGAACCAAACGCGACGGAATCCAGGGATGGAACATAATGCTCATTCGTCACCCCACCACTGGTCCGATTGATTTGGAGAATTGCTCTCGAAAACTTAATATTTATGACCCTCAGACAAGCTTAACAATATTTGAAGGTATACGTAGCGAATTGTTGCTCGTTTTAGCCTTCCTTAATAGTCGAATCAATCTGAACGAAAAAAAAATTTTCCCTTTTTCTTTTGAAATTTTTAATTTTTTGTATTACGCGCAGCTAGGAAATTCGTGCCTCGTTTCAGTGTGAGCCAGAGCGTAGTCCAAGTTCGAGGAAGTCTCAAGAAAGGCACGGAGAGTTATTATAGCTCGGCAGCCAATCAGATTAGAACCGAAAAGAACGCCGAAGAATGAAGCGTGAATAACACCACGCGTTTCTGAATTTCCCTGGGGTTATAGGAGATAGACAAACAAAGGGCGAAACTGGGAGGACAGGATGCGTTCCGCGGTTCTTCGTCAATTTTGAGCGATGCTCGAATGGCCTCGTCGATGATGACACGGTCTTTCTGCATCGATGATGACACTGACGTCAAGGCGTCGTCCTGATGTCGCATGACGTTGTGACAACAAGTCAGGTCGCGGTGACTTTTTGTACATGACGACTAACGTCTAGGTTGAATAAAAATATAGTACGGCGTTCTATTGTTTCTATGACTTTGACCAGTGTGCCGGTCGAGCTTGGGTTTGGATCGAAACGCATTTTTCATAAAAAAACGGCTAATGTAAGCCACTTCGTTCGTAGTGCAATCTCTGGCGCTACGAGCGAACTGGTTTGGATTAGCCGGTTTTTTTCACATGCGGAGGTACCTAAATAGCGCTCCGGTGGCCCCACTCGTCCCTTCTAGTACACTCTACTAGGGCTCAAGTGGGCTGGGATTATCGCTGTGACATACACGTGCAATGTCGATAGTTCTCGCTTATTCTGATCGAGCAACCCCGTGGCGAGTCACCGGGGCCCGTTACAAAAGTTTACTCAATCTTGCTCCAGGGTAAGGGTTTTGAACCTTGGCGTTCCAAAACCTACCCACGTCTAGCGTTTCTCAACCTGTGATGTCACGGTACACAACCCGCGGAGTAACTGGATTCATTTGGGTAAGATTTGGAACACAGCCCCCCTGAAAACGACGGAGGTTATGCGTACCTTGAGGGTAGGCGCAGGCGTGCTGGCCGCCGGCACTCGCGCTTCCTGAAAATGAGAATGCACATAGGAATACAGATACTGTGGGAAAATTGAGATTTTCTGGGTCACGCGGTGGTTCATTTGCCGCGCACGAAGCGTTCACACTCTCTCTTCGAAAACAAGCACTCATTTTGTCACCCTTTACATAACTCTAAAAGCGGGGGCGTACCCTACTCCTTTACCAATAACGGCTAGCAAAAAGTTTTGAAACTTTTTTTTTGTTCTGTTTGTGTCATTGTCGTCTTTCTAACTAGTCTCGGGGTTTTAGCTCGATCATCATGAACAATACGTTAAATTTGAATAAAATAATAATTTGTACAGCAACAATTTAACGTTAATTGGCAACATTGGCCGGTGGCGACTAATGATTCCCAAAATCCGAGCGAGTTTTGGCATGAGATAGTGTCTCTGGCTATCGCATGTCACGGTCTCATTTAAAAACACACCACGAGTCTCAAAACTGCTAACAATTTTGATTACTCTTGAGTTGATACTGGGAATTTTAGTCACTACCACACTTTTATTTTTAGGGTGATTTTTTGTTTGTTTTATCAATGTTGTTTTTGAGTTGCATGTTTTACCCCTTGCCTTTTTATATTTGCTAATGTAAAATTAGTGATATGAATTATTTGTTCACTGTTCTGGAAAAACAAAACTATGCTCGAAACATTCGTGTGAATCACAAAGTTCGCCTGCTCACTTGTGTTAATTGTGTTAATCATTCGTGTAGAAATTAGAGAGAAGGGGTACAAATAGTCTACTTTTCGGAACGCCTGATGTGATATACATTATTGCGGAAGAGAAATAATTAATTCATGCATCTATTGTTGGCGATATTTAGGTAAAACTTTAAGAGAGGCAACGGATGTACCGGAAACCGGGAATCTCATGTTTTTTTGTTTTTTTTTTTAATAAGACCCGGAAACTAAGCAGTTGAAATACCTTAATAAATCTTAAAATCACCCCAAGAACAAATTTTTGCTTTCAAGCTTTAAAAGAATATATTTTTTGTTGATTGAGGCTGTTTTAGTTGAAGAGTTCCTCTTGAAACCAAACTAGAAAGTTCGGGGACCCCATTTATTTAGCAAGTGTACAAATCGATGATAATGTTGTTTTTCCAAAGCTTTAGAGAAAACAAGCAATATATATAAAAGTCACACTTCGAAGCGTCGTTGGTGTTTTAAAGCATTTAGTGAGTCGACGTTTGGGCATGAGTTCGGAGGCCTTCTTTCAAACTGTCTGGACTCAGGCCGAAGCGTCGACTCATTGAATAACTTAAAACATTAACAACGCTTCAAAGTGCGACTTTATTACTTTATATTCTTCGGTCATCCTACGCTATATCTTCTACACACACACACACACGCACACTCACTCACTTACGCACTCACACACGCGCACACACTCACTCACTCACTCTCATACAGACTCTCACACACGCACGCACACACACACTCACTCACTCACTCACATACAGACTCTCACACACGCACACACACACACGCACACTCACTCACTTACGCACTCACACACAGACTCACACACGCGCGCACACACACACACACACACTCACTCACTCACTCACTCACATACAGACTCACACACGCACACACACCCACACACTCACTCACTTACTCACTCACACACGGACTTTCGCACACGCACACACATCGACGTGTGTGTATTTATTGGCGGGGGGTCATATCTACGGGAATAAATACCACCGGCGTTACCAGTTAGATTTACAAAATATTGACTGAACAAAATGGCCAAGTCTCGCGGTTAAATTATGAACAACTTTATGATGCGAAGCCTTGGTGCAATTTGGCCCAGAAGCGCCTCTCAGCTGTGAACCTAGATGTTCCACATTACGACAGTGCGATCATTTGCCGACTAAAAGAGGAAAAAGCAGGAACTCTTTATGGGATTTCTTGGCTCTATAGTTCAGCTACTGCGGTACGACTGAAACACCTTTACAGAAGCCGGGTGGCGTGCCCTGATGAGACGGTTGTATAGCACAAATTGTTTTACGGATCGAGAAGTTACCCATGGCTTAAGACACGTTTTTGATATTTGTGTGGGTTTATGTGTTAAGTGATCTTAATTTAGCCTAAGAAGTTGCTCTCAAATACGTTATATGCATCTTCAGCGGTTTTGCGCATAAGCACTGTACCTCAAACAGTAGCTGCAGTGTCGCGCCTGTAAGCTTCGAGGCTAACTTTAGCTGTATTTCGGAAAGCCGTAGGTTTGTGTCATCTTTTTTTGGACTTATAGTAAACTAAACACAAAAAACATATTTGAAGATGGTCACTCAGGTCGCCAACTTATTACTCCGCTATTCAGACGACCGGCGCGAAAATTATTTACGAATAAATCTAAAATAGCTTCGGAATGTGAGGTAATTCTTGTGGGACTATCAATCATATTAACAACTTCGTTCAGGAAAACTAAATCTCTTATTTCTCATTTCAAAACACTGTCAGCAAATATTAAAGTCACACCCGCAAATGACTTTGTATTGACTTTTCATGTGTGAGCACCAAAGAAGACAACAACAACAAAAAGAAATGCAAAGAAACCTGTAATGCTACCGTCCGGAAAAGAGAATGGAGGGGGTGGGGGGATGTTTAATAAAACGCAAAAATATATTGATTGGTAGGGACAACACTTGTGCACCATTCGTGATAAGAGAATAATCGCTCAGCAGTTTCACAGTTGATTGCCGTTCGGGGTTTCGTGTTAGCGCTGTTGACGAGTGCGTTTTGTTTTCTGTTTAAATAGTCCGACCAACGCGTTAAAGCAAAGTCCGTCAAGTTCTAAACTGTGCAATTTTGTCAATGCAGAACAGACCCTAAAATGTAACCTCGAAAGGCATGAATTATGACAGCCTGTCTCCGACAATAATTTTATTCGAGAGAAATCGACAGCTCCGCCACCCGATACTAGCAGTGCTGCATATATAGCAATTGAAGACCCGAGTTTTGAATTACCAAAGTGGTGGCTTCCTAGGTGTCCATAATTCTTCAAAGGTATTAATCGGCTGAGGTGAGGCAACATTTGCGTGAACCAAACCATGTCACCTTACGCTTTGTGGAGGAAATGGAAGTGTCGTTGTTTGTCATTTTATGGGCAGTCCAACCTACCATCCTGCGCATCTCACAGAAAACATCAGTCCACAGATCACCAATCGATGAGGAGCCTAGCCCTCGCTAACACTCATACACCCATAGAAACACAGGCTAAAAAGGTGCGTCTTCCAAAAATAATAAAATTAGACGTTTCAGCGTATTTGGATTAAGCTTTTTAAGGCAGTTTCCCCGCTTATATTTAAAGTTAAGAATATAAGGGCAAAAATACTCACTGCACGCAACAACAAAACAAATTGCCACCAGAAGAAGCGCCTTGGAAGCGCACGTGACGTTCGCAGCCATTGTTTTTGAGCTTGTCTTTACTGCTGAAGAACGGGACTGACACCAAGCGCTGCGACGCGCGCTCTTTTATATCGCGAAGATCTCGTACGGACGCATGAAATGAAAACAAGGAGACATCCTGCACGTGTCGGGCGCATGTTATCTCCTCTCACTGCGTGCACAGCCTTTGTTTTATTTTTCGCCCAAATCAACGGAAGGGGAAGCCAGACGCCTTGAGTGGAAGTGAATAATCAGTTCGTTCTTCCGCTCTACTGAGCGCGACAAGTTTCCGAAGTGTAGCTGCAAACCTGAGATACCTGCCCTGACAGATGCTGAAAAGACAGCGGCGGCAGCATTGCAAAAACTACACTACAGCGCAGCCAATGTACTGCAACAGAAAAGTTTCTTGGTCAGTGTTGTTGCGTGCGATCATACTTTGGTACCAAGCTCGTATAAAGCGAATAACGTTCGAACTTAATAGCGCTAAATAGGGCAGCTGGGGTCTTGCAAAGCGTCCGCGCGCCCCAGACCCAACAGGGGCCCCTCAAGGGAGGGGGACGTTCCTTTAAAGCATGAAGTTTTTTTTTTAGAGGGGCGATGCAACGATTTTTGCACTACGGGCAAATACCGCTTAGAACGAATCTCTGATGTTAATGACCTATAAAACTCGCGTTTTTGTTTCACATACACGCAATCGAAGTCGCAGAAAAAAAATTATAGCAGCGTTCACCCCCTCAACTCGCAGCCAGAACGAGCGGCAACGAGAGCTGGAGCCGATTATATGCCGCCAATGTTGATCATAGGCACGCGCTGGGGTCGCCAAGGCACAGAACACGCGGCGAGTCCAAACATTGTAATGGTTCGGCTATTGTCGTCGTTGCAGCGATCGGACACGGGCCACTACCCGACCCGAATGCTTCTCGAGCTATCGATTCTCGCAAGCCCAAATCGTGTGCCCACGCAACGCTCGAATCCAATCTAAGAGCCGCATTCGAATATCGTCACTCGGCGGTACCGCTGCCGCCCAGGTACATCATCAAGTTTTGTGAAGGAGAAATTATATGAAAACGCTCGCTTTTCTCCTTGAAATTACACCGCAACAAAGGAGTTCCTTGGCCACTGCAGCTGCGTCGCGTGCGAGTACACTTGAGTCCAACTGGTACCTGTAAGTCCGTGTAAAGTGAAAAATATTCCAATTGAATATGGTTGCGCCACCCCTTTAACGAAGCCTCCCGTCGCAAAATTTTGTCCGTCCGTCTGTTCGGTCGTGTGTTTTCTGGTATATTTAGCGGGGCAACAGCCGTCAAGTCACCTGACCTATACTGTACAGAAAATGGGTAAACTTATTTCACAAAACGACATGATATAACGACACGAGCCTATATTTCATGTATATCAACAAAACGTCACGCACCCCGCTAAATATGGCTTTCACGTCGGAGTCGGTACATCGGCGAAGCTGGACGTCGTGGCGACGGCGACCGGGACATGCGGCGAGCTGCAGGCGGGGGAGACTGAGGTCGTCGGAGGTATTCTTCGATCTCCTGCGGTCGTTCACTGTAGCGTGGAGGAGGGTCGTTCGGATGAAAGCCACGCAGCCCTATTTTCCGGTACGGCGGTAGATATGGTCGGCTTCCCCGCAGTGGTAGCACAACGGGCGTCCACGTAACCAAAATCGAGAAGGTGAACACTCTCTGTAATACGGGCTCCCTACCATTGTTGATATGGTCGGTCTGCAAACACTTCCGCCGTGGACCTTGGCAAGTTTGTTCGCCTTATTTTTCACTGGAACAGATCTACATCCTTGACGTTTAACTTGACAAAAATTATGGACATTCGGGGAAACTTTTTTTGTTTTCTCGTGCAGCCGTCGGTTTTTCTGGTTAGAGAGCAGGGATTCATTGTGGAACCAGATCGAAAAACGTATGGCGACCTCCATCGATGTCGAAAGGTATTCTGGGAAACGGCTGCACAGAAGCGACTGCAAATCAGCATTCTCACCGAGCCACGACGTACGTTCATGAGCCCTTTGCTATGTAATCTAAACAAAAAGTCGACCATCGGTTTGGGCTTTGAGCCAATCAGCGATCAGCCGTAGACAACGAATGCGGAGGGCAAGTTCGTCTGCTTCTTCCGCAGGGGCTGTGGTGACGTCAGAACGCCGAGGTCTGATTGGCTGGAGCGGATAGGGGGTCGCCGAGACCCCCTATCTGAGCGTCGTTCGCTCCTTTGCAACGTCGTCTGCTACTCAACAGCTGTCTTACCTTTACGAGCGAGCTCGACTTGTTCGCCTTTCAGGGAGGAGAGACGAAATAACCAGAGCGGTACGATGTGTTTTTGTCTAGCAGTTCTAGCAGACACGTATCAAGGAGCGAAGGCAAAGGACTCAGGGGTGAGGTGGCCGACGGTGCCGAGGATTCTTTGCTAACAGCCGAGAACGACGGGAGTTAGCGTCAGCAAGTTCCCTCCTTTCGTGTGCGGCGTCGAGCGTATTGTGGAAGATATGTTGTCGACTCGTTGACACCAAGATGTAATTAGTGTTTTTATTTTGGCGAAATTTTATGGAAACTTATTTTTCTATGCCCTGTTATTTAAACAGACGAACACTTGCTCGGGGTAATCTGATGTACTTCATTTAGCCCTCTGCATTTGCTCAGGCCACTTTTTTCTAAGCTTACCGTCTTAACAGACAAGGATAAAAACACGCGGTTTCCTTCAGTGTAGCGCGCGTGCGGCCCCGGACATCTAAGGGCATCACCGACCTGTTATTGCTCTGTTTCGTGCGGCTAGGAGCCGCTTGTCCCTCTGAGAAGGGTGCAAGGTGCAGATAACTACGCACCTGTTTAATAGACTGGAGTCTCGTTCGTTATCGGAATCAACCAGACAAATCGCTCCACCAACTAAGAGCGGACATGGTCCACCATCCACCGACTCAAGAAAGAGCTCTCAATTTGTAAATTCTCCCAGAAATTTAAAATGCGACACACCGTCGTGAATGCGCCCACCACATCCGAAGACGCAGCACGTTTTCACTTCCCCTGGTCACTGCACCTTGGACAGCGCCTGATCGGAGCCGACCTCGAAATCACACAGGACAGAAGCGAAACGCTCTTTTCTTTTTTTTTTTTTTTAACCAGCAACCACGCGAAAGACACACGGCTACCGCCACAACTGCTGCAGCACGTCCGCCATTGCCGACGCCGAGATGTTTACCTCCGCGCCCCCCCCCCCCCCCCCCGCCCCAGGAGGCGGAGCTTAGTATAACCTCCTCTCCCACCTTCACACCTCCTTTCCCATGTGCAGAAGACCGAAATTCGCCCACTTGCAAAACGAATATCATCGTTTTCCTGTAAAAAAAAAAAAAAAAAAAACAAGAATTAAACAAATATGGATATTGCATTTTATGCTTGATTAGCCCCGTGAACGAGCGCTGTATTCCTGAAAGTCTTTCACGAGATATTGAAAGAGTATCTGTTGATTTGTTTGGTTTTCAGCGTTCAAGCAGTTCGCCTATAGACTGCTGCCACTCCACATGATGTCAGGGCGTTTTTTATGAGTCTAGAAATAGATGGCTGTGGTATTCCATTTTTGTCTTATTTTTTGAGCACAGATTTAATTTGGTTGCGATATTTCCATAACACAGTGAAATCATCGTCATCCTTGTCGCGAGGTAAAACTGGCATAACTGGTCCTTTTTAACACGAGAGAGTAGAAGCTCGTGTCGTAGACAAGCCGGCGTCGGTGGCGCGACAGAAAAATCCTCATCGATCGATAGGAGCATGACATCACAGCCACATAAACTCGCGCGGGAATTTCGAACAACCCACAATGCTCACGTGAAACGTGACGTCACGCATGGAATGAAAGTGATTAAAACATGACGTGTGAAGTGAATTAAAGATCGCAGCATATGTCCAATAATTTCACTTTATAAAATAAGTCATTTGATATGAAAAGAAGAAAAACTTACGAAACATTTAAGGCGGGCTTCGAATCCACGACACTTGGATTGCGAGCCAGATACGATACTGCCTATGCCATACAAGGCTATTTTTTCTTCTTTATTGCCTGGGCCATACAAGGTACGCTTGCAAGGCGAATGAGAAGGCGATACGAACGGGGGCCCGATAACGCTATTGCATTCCACTCTTGAAGGCGAAGCTTCAGCGTGGTCAAGTTTTATCTTACCAGCGTTAAAGTAGTTGGACTGACCCAGGGTTTCCTTATTCGCTTTTGAACGACGACTGTTTTGTACGGGAAGCATGTGGCATAAATATGAAATATACTCATTAACTCATTATGTGGTTCGTTCACGCACTGCTTTAAAACAACGGAGCTCCCGTCAGTTTCCATAATGTCATAGTTTGGAAACTAAAAGGTTTCCTAACGCTCTTTATAATTCTCTAGTTTTAAAACAAACATATGCGAGTCAATGATCGCTGAGCCACAACTTATTGCACCCGCAGTGTTTACAACTGTGCTTATTTTGGTAATGAAATATCGACAGCGCATTATGTGAAAAATGTAATTCTAGTAATAGACGTTATGACATAAAAAAGCACAACTACTGAAGGTACTATTCAGTAGGGACAAAACGGCAAAGTTTTCTAAATTATTTGTTTTAATCACCAGCCAGGTCGAGCAAGTGTGGATACAAAATATATTTCAATAAAAATAAAACATTATTACGAGCTGGAGGTTGGTTCATAACGGAGTGACGTCCGCGCTTGAGATTTACACTTTCATAGTCATCCGTAGTTTCGTTTAAGGGACCATGAAATTACCTTTTTTCTTTTGCCAGGTAACTTTTACATTAAACCTTCAACGTTCACTGAATGCCGAACAGGCATCCGTTTTCGTCTCGGCTTAATAGCTTCCACAAAAAAAAAAAAAAAAAAAAAATTAATGAAATGTTCACTTTTTTTTTTCTCTCCAACTGACCGCAAAACAAGCTGCGGCGTAATTTTGACGGTCGTGACGTACTCTGGGACAGGATTTGGAAGTTCTCTCGACAGTAAGAGAATGGGAGCGTGAGCGGCGGCGAGTTGGGGGTGCGCCGGTAGGTTTTACTGCGCTGATGGCACCGACGTATTTTCTGAATCGGCGCCTCTCATCGCCGCGATAGCCATGGACACATCGCAGCTGAGCGAAATTCAATTATATATGTTGCGCTACAGCGACAGCATGGGACT